CTCTCTCTCTCTCTCCCTCCCTCCCTCCTTCCCTCTCTCCCTCCCTCCCTCTCTCTCTTTCCCTATTGACCTATTGAGGACCCGGGAGGTATCCGAAGGTTATTGACCTCCTAAGATCTTGCTTCCTCCGACTTGGAAGCGTGAGTCCCAGGACTGGAAGGAGGTGGGTGGTGATTCATCCTGGGGACATCTCGATCTTTGATACGGAGTTTGGGGGGATCCCGTGTTATTTCGAGAGCATGTTGAGCTGTTTTGTACCATCCTGGTGTCCTTTTTCCTCGTGCTGTCTCCGAGAAGGGACGGAGGCTACCAAGGTGCACCATCTAGGTAGTTCTCTCCTTTCTCAGAAGGCAAGCAGGCTTTTATCAGAGAAAGGCTGGTGTCCTGAGGGATCCCGGTACCTCTCTAAAGACCTGTGGCTAGGCCCGGTGGGTGGCGATAAAAGGAGGCCTTTGTCGGGAGAAGTGAGTGTTGGCCCCGTGGTCCCTCCCAGGAGATTTCAGGTTAGGTCTTGGCCTTCCCGTCAAAGGTTGCGACCACCACGGCTGGGGACTGATCTCACTGAAGCAACCCATTTCAAGCTCCAAGACCGGGATGGACAGACTTGGCACCCTGAGCCTCTGGCACAGTTGACCCCAGCGGGAAGGGCGCCTGGGCTGCAGGAGGGTGCAGAGGAACGCTACTGTTCCTTCCCTGGTCAGCTATCGATTAGGATTCCCATTCTGACATCACTCAGCAACATCCCCGACGAAGTGTGCCTTCTCCTCCCACTGGAGGCCCAGTTCACAGTCAGCTCGCAGGAAGTGAGGAAGGGGAGAACACTTAAAATCCAGCACTGACGGCCCTGCACAAATCAATTATTCTCGACCTTGATAAATAATTCATTTAAGCCTGTTTTTGTTTTGTTCCAACGCCTACAATGACTGAAGAGCTCAAAGGCTGAGGGCTGGCTTGTGTGGGGCAGGTCGGCAGGGTGTTTTTCTTGGAATAATTCGCAGCATTGGCAGGGGAGACAGTGGAGATGTGACCCCACGAAAAAATGGAATCTGAAGAGAGAGGAAGAGAAGAAGACCTGGATGTGTGTGTGTGTGTGTGTGTGTGTGTGTGTGTGTGTGTGTGTGTTGTGGATGGGGGAGTCGTGTTTCATGAACCTCCAAAACAAATTCAATAGGCCTCACCTTGTGAATGTTTCAGATCATATTTTTTAAGAAAATGTCAACATCAGATTTTCTTGAGCTGTATAGTTTAGAGCTTACTCTTTGGAAGAAATCATAATGAAGAGAATATATGCCCCTGATTCAGGTCCCAGGAAATGTTAGAAATACCCTCAAAAACCAAAGCCAGGTCACAAACTCAATGAACAAATCCCTCAGAGCCAGGGCTTTTAACGTTCCTCAGTCCTTCCCCACTCCGGACACAGCTCTCTTAAGCTGTTATTTTCTTGAGAGAGTATATGTAATGTAACCCAATGATGCACTTTCTGGCAAAAAAAAAACAAAAAACAAAAAACAAACAAAAAAAAACAAAAAAAAACTCACTTTTCATCTTAAAACGATTCAGCAGGTGTGGTGGTGCATGCCTTTAATCTCAGCACTCTGGAGACAGAGGCAGGTGGATCTCTGAGTTCTAGGCCAGCCTGGTCTACATAGTGAGTTTCAGGACATCCAGGGCTCTGTAGAGAGACCTGCTTCAAAATAAAGAAAGAAAAAGAAAAAAATCAAAATTCAGAAACAGATCAGGATGCAGCTTCAGTTCATTTCCAAGAGAGTATGTATACATTCGCTGAATTTTAACCTCACATTCCCACCATTAGATTTAACATAAAAAAAAAGTATATCCTAAACTAACATATATTTAATTTGGGGGGATTTTTAAATTTGTTGCTCAGAAAGCAGTTTACTTGCTAGCTGTGCATAACAGAGAATCTATTTCATTCCAATTTATGCAGGACACACCAATGCCAATCAACAGTGAATTCCTTTTTCCCCCACCTCAAAGAATGATCCAAACACAAAACAGTTTTGTGTGCATTATACATCTCTCACCATCCACTTTCACTGTCTAACTTTGAGATTATTTTTAACTGGAGCATCAGATTTTTTTAAATAGATTTTAATTTTGATGAAGTTCACCACAAAATTGTGATAAACTTAAAGTACTGTTTCTTCTCTCCTGGTATACATTTGACAGGGCTAATTAACAGGAATGCGGTGCAAAGGTGCCTCTCTCCACTGGGCGGCGCCAAGAACCCCAAGCCGAGGTACCCTGCTATTGTTTCTGTCTATAAAAGATGCAAGATACACAAATAGGCTCTCCACAATCTAAGGGTGATTCGGCAGCCATGATGCGGCCTTGCCATCTCATGGCTGGACCCACGTTGGAGTTTCCTTTCTCTTTTTAAGTCTATTAATACATTTCCAACTGCTTTAGATACTGATGCATACTTGCTTAAAAAAATCATTTATTAAAGAGAAAAATATGAAAACAACGAAACTAAGTATTTTCTTTAGTCTGGTCCTTAGACTGAAACTGGAAGAGTGGAGATTGGGGGCAGAGAAACAAAGGTAAAAATGGGGGGGAGGGGGAGAAAGAAAGAAAAAAGTAACAAAGTTATCCTAGCAGAAAAGAGTTAAAACGTGAGACTTAAAGTTTTGAGAGACAGTTCTGGCAACCTAAAATTTGCAGAAGTTACCACTTTACCAGAACATGCATGCTGGCAAGCTGGGAAAGAAACCAGTGAAGTGTGTGCCCAGAAGGCAGTTGTGTGGTGCCCGGGGCACTCGGAGACACCAGCACGGGTAGAGGAAAGAGTGGGGGGGAGGGAGTTTGGCCTACTTTGCCAGCTTCTGTCTGGTGTTCCTGGCAAGGCTTTTAACCTTCCCACCACTGAGGCCCGGTTGCTTTCAGCTGTGGGAAGGTACCCACCAGCCATTCTTTTTTATTTCTTTCCCCTCATTCATTCCTTCATGTAGTAGCTAATAGAATTACTGAATGTGCATCCTGTGACAAGTGCTTGTGTGTTCTGGAAGTTGTCGTAGCGAACACGGTACAGTGGGAGCTCAACAGACGGCAGGGAGTCTCGTGTGTGTGTGGGGGGGTGTTGGGACAGCAGGAAGGTTTTCCACGGGGGGGAGAGCGGGACAGACCAGACCCTGGCATGCACCCCCAGGAGTGGGCTACAGAAAGATTTATACGACAGCTCAAGGTAAGGTGGTGCAAAACCGTCCACCAAATGGGTAAGACTGGACTACAATCTTCAGGGACATGTTGGCTCAAGGGGGCTCCCTGAGTGCCGCCACAAGAGGAACTAACTGCTGTT